CAGCATTTTGCAGCAAATTGCAGCATGTTGCAAGCTGGTCGCGCATAGGGCAAGTGCGCGAGGGACTCGGATCTATCTGGTGCAAAAATCGGTGGAATTCCTTGGCAACACAACGATTTTCCCTGCGCGCGTACAAACTCACATACAAACTGTGAATTTACTTGTTTTATGCGAGAATTGTGCAACAACTATCTAATAATTGTTAGTAAAACTTGAGGCTATACAAATATGTGTAAAGGGGTATACTGACGCGTTTTTTAGAGTTATAGTCTCATGTTTCAAGCCCATGGCGTCTCTACAAGGCCTCTCACGCCCGCGCAGGCGCGTCGCGCTCCTAAGATCCCTAGAGAGCTCATAACCAAAGGCCGCGGCCTTGATCCACGCCGGAGAATTGAAATATATCGCTTTTTGCTGCTAGGCTGGCGTCACGACTCTATTGCTAGTCATGTTGGTGTGTCGCGGTCAGAGGTGTACGCGATTGAGCGCAACTTGAAGCTGCACGGCAGCACTCGCAAACCAAGTGATCCAAACGCTGTACTTGGCCGCCCGCGTAAAATAGGACCTGAAGATGAGCAAGCCTTATTTAATGAGCTCTATCAAAGCGGCTGGATGTATCATGACGAGATAGCTTACTGGTTATGGATGGAGAGAGGCGTTAAAGTACACCGGTCAACAGTTACTCGGCTGCTCAACGATCGCAGCTGGAGCGAGCGAGCGCTGCGTCCTATCTCTATACTTCGTAATGAGGAGCTTCGTGAGAGCTATCGCCGCTGTATGAGGCAGTTCACCGCCGCTGATCTAGTGTTTCTGGACGAGTCCATCTTTAGTGAGAAGACTGGTTGGCGGCACCACGCCTACGCGCCGATAGGCTCCACGAACCGCTATATGCAGGACGTTCGACGAGGGAAAACCTGGGCAGCCTTACCCGCGTTTACTATGAATGGGTACCTGCCTTGTACGGGCGTGAAGGAGGGCTATTTTAGCCATGAAGACTTTATGGATTGGATCCGCGAGTCGCTACTGCCCACCCTTCGCATGGCGTACGGTAACAAGACTATGGTTGTAGTCCTTAACAACGTCTCAATTCATACAAACTGGGAGGTTGTGAGTGAGATTGAGCAAGCTGGCCACATTGTCAGATATTTGCCGCCATACTCGCCAGACTATAACCCAATTGAGCTCACCTTTAGCGTCCTTAAAGCTTAGATTCGCAGGTACTATGGCTGCACGCGCGGGCGATTTGACAACTTTGGCGACTTCCTGAGGGCAGCTATCCGCGAGAGTCAGTGTGATCGGTTTGCAAGAAAGCACTTTAAGCACGCTGCCGATGGCCTGTATAGGATGGAGAGCAAGGAGGCATTAATGGAGGCTAGGCACAAGATGTGGAGGTGGCAGTAGGGCGAGCAAGCAGTAGAGAGCATAAGGCAGAGAGAACAAGCGTTAATTGTACAATAGGTATTATAGTATTAGTGACGTAGTAACATTTTTCTAAAGCCTAACGCCTGCAGTCCTGTCTCCTCAGTTTGTTACTCCACTACCTGCAGTGTTGTCGTTACCCATGTTCATGAGTCCTACAGCAGCAGCAGCAGTAGCAGCAGCAGCAGCTTGATAGTGCTGTTTAAACTTCCTAAGATCCTCTTAAAGGTGCCTAACTACTCTATCTTTTAGCCGGAAGCGCTCACTAACTGCTACCTTATAGAGATCTCTACTAGAGTTTAACATCTCTTGCAAATCTCTAACAGTCCACCGCTCTGAGATTGCTACATCTTGCGCCTGCTTGTAGTCCTCGTGATTGTCCTCTGGCTGCTAGGCAATAATCTACTTAAAAAACTCTCTTATAATTGCTCTTGTGTCCTCCTTGCCGCTTACAGGGCTTGAGCTTAGCACACAGGTGGAGAGCGCTGTCGCAGGTGTAATAGGACGCTAAGCAATTGGTGGCGGTAGTGACGGCGGTAAAGGCGAGTAAAGCTGCTGCAGATGGAGAGGATAAGCAGGCTGAGGGTAACTAGCAGCAGCAGCAGGGCCGTATGGATAGCCTATTGGCAGGCTAGGCTGGCCAAATCCGGGAAAGTTTGGCTGTAACCTCATATTTTCGCGCTGGAGTTGAACCATCTCGCGCTGCTCCTCTCGCCACCGGGCATCGTCCTCTGCCTTCTGCCTAGCCTGCTGACGCTTGCGCTTCTTTAAAGTGCGCTAAAAATCGCGCTTAGAGTTGCTCTTGCTAGCAGTAGAACTACAGCGCTTCTTGCCTTTACGCCTGCCCTTTGGCTTTAGCTGGTTACTGCTACTAGCAGGGCTTCTCCAGTAATTAATAAGCTGAATTAGAGGCGTGAGGAGCTCTGCCTCACCTGCAAGGATTGCGTTTGCCTAAGATTTCGCGTCCGCAGGCGAGACTTTGTAGTGCTTAAAGTTGGCAGTAACCTAGCACTAGCACTTAAAGTTTAGGCACTCACTGTTACTACAACGCCAGTGGCGGTGGAGTCTCTTCTCCCAGTCCTCCTGCGTGGCCATATCCTGCAATTGCTGTACCGCTCTCGCCTTGTTAAGCAGCTGCTGAGTACGCCTTAGATTTTTTTCAGGTTGCGGCGTTGACAAGTCAGGTACATCAGACAAGGGCTTATTAGCGTACTAATTACGCTTAAAGGCTTTCTGTAAGGCAAGCGCCTTAACAGTAACCTTAATGTTTACCTCTACTACTTAAGGAGGCGGCCCTTTGCTGATTTAATAGTTAACCTGCTTAAAAAACTTCTCCTCCTCAGCCGCACTAAAATCTGCTAGTGAGTGCGTCACCTTTCGCGCCCTTGGGCCTACTTAAAAGTTGATTGTACGCTGAATAATCTTGTACTCACAGCCTTTAAGTTGAGCCTCTGGCATGGCTAGCAGCTCATTTACAACATTCTCTGCGTCCTCTAGCCACCATATAAAGCGATTGTGCTGCTCTGGTGCGCGGTAAACAGCGCTCCTTCTGTTAACAATTAGCTTATATTTAACCTTAAGATTGTACTCTAGTGCGTTTAACAGCAATGATAAGTTGGCGGAGCAAATAGGGGCGGCTGCCATAGGCGTAACACAGCCTGCTGTCGGCGAATTTGACTTGGCGGATAGATCGATAGTTACAGCCTCAGGCTGCGTCTTGAGCGTTGGTAGCGGCGACGACAGTACAAAGTCGCGCTCTATTTGCGTAGTAACAGGCGTAGTAACTTAAGCAGGGCTTGCCTGAGCAGCCGCCGGGCCCGCGTTAGCTGTCGAAGGCTCTATAAACCGCACCTAATCGCGCTGTGAGCGCGTCGTCCGCCCTCTAGTACGCTTCGCAGCCTTTAGTTGCGCCTTTGTAGCTTTTCAACGTGGTTTTGCTGCTTTCTTACGTGCTGCAATAGCTGCAGTAGCTGCAGCAGCGGCCGCTGCCTCTGCTGCAGTTACAGAGGGTATACGCGCCCTCTTTGGCCTCTCCATGAGCATATTGACGGACTACAACACCAAAAACGCGTCAGTATAGCTCCTATACACGTATTTGTATAGCCTCAAGTTGTACTAACAATTATTAGATAGTTGTTACGCAATTCTTGCATAAAATAAGTAAATTCACAGTTTGTGTGTGAGTTTGTACGCGTGCAGGGAAAATCGTTGTGTTGCCAAGGAATTCCACCGATTTTTGCACCAGATAGATCAGCAAAACAAAAAGCCGAGCAACACGAGTAGAGCAGAAAAAGGATTGATAAATGAACACAATCAATACAATCAATCAATCATCCCATACATCATATCCAAACCCATCATTCATCTCAGGAAGCCTAGAAACAGTGCTTAAATCTGACAGTTAGTGTAAAAAGAGATTATAAAGCTTTAAGTAGTAAATAAAGCTACTACATAACATAGATTACATAAAAAAAAGCAGATTTAGGCAGAAAAAACCTTAATAGTTAAGAATAGAGCTTGTCTAACTGCTCTAAAGGAGTTTAAAGCGTGTAGTAATAGAAAGAAGCTAAAGATGTAAGTGCGCGCTAAAAAAAGGTAAGCTAAGTTAAAGGTAATGTAGGCAGTGTAATTAGACTAGGCATAACTTGCGTATATGTAAGAAAGTAGTAAAAGTAGACTTTAAATAATATCTTATGTTATATTACTTTATACAGGGCTAAAGTAGGCTGTTTTGCGCTAGAATAGAGTGGTTTTAGTAGGGGCTTAGCAAAAGTAGCCGGCTAACCTGTGTGGCCGGCTAACCTGTTAGGTACGTTATAAGCTTATTAAGCTTAACTTAATGAAATAAAAACACTATATATTAGTAACTATAGCACTAGTAATAATGTTTTAAATTATCTAGTTATATTTTTTTAAATATAGTTTTTTTTTACTAAGGTTTTTTAAAGTTTAGTTACTAGTAATAAGTACTACTTAAGTGTAACCTAGATAGTCTCTACTATAGGTCTGCCTAGAGCTAGTCTAAGTTACTATAATATTCTACCTGTAACGGTTCTCATGATTCGTTCTATCTTGGGTCGCTCGGAACCTATCCAAAGGGTCTCCGCATCAGCCTAGACCATGACTCGACCCTGTCCCCTGTAGTTACCTCTATTCCCTTAAGTATTTAGTCGCACCTCTTCTCTTAGCTAGCTTAGTAGTTTTCTAATATCCTTTGTACAAGGCCTATAGGTGTTAATGGAGTTCCTAGGTTATTAAGTCCCCACGCACTCCTATATGCCTCTGAGTGGATTCCTACCGCATTTGGACCCATTGTCTTGCCTGTGCTGTTACACTACCTATTTAATTACAGGATTAAGGACAACCTGTAAAAGAAGGGGGGCTATGTTATAGTTAACTTAGACATGCCTTAGACTCTCCCTAGAAAGCCCTTAGCCTAGCCTTAGGCACATAACGTCCTGTCACGTGCCCTAGCACACATATATATATATATCCTCTCACGAACCCCTGAGTCTCCTTAAGGATTTGTCTATTAATACTATCCTGTACCCCCTTCTGCGCTTTATGCTTCCTGCTTCACAGTGCTCTCACACTCTGTTACTTCTGTATAATTTTAGATTAGCCTAGGTTACAGAGGTATAGTAGGTAAGACGTAAGTAGAGCATGATAGACTAAGGATTTGTAAAGCTGTTTTGCACTTTTTTTTTTAAACCTCTACTAGGTTAGTTTACTAAGAAACTAAGAATCTAATTCCTCTTAAAATTCACTAAAAACACTGTCTAATTCTACCAGCTACACACCACCAACACGAGCCCAGCATTCTCCCACCACCAATGCTCCCATCCATCCAACCGTCCAGCCACCCTCCTACCCCCCTTCCTGTCCATAATACCACCTCCCCAAACCATAGCCCATCTCACCTCCCCACCATCTCTCTACCCAACCACGCCCTCAAACCCCGCCATCTAACCTAACAGCCTTCATGCGTATTCGCATTACAAAAAGTAAACTCGCCATCCGCCTTCCCAGTACTCAACTTCATCGGGCTCTTCCCACACGCATTCGGATCCTCATCAAAGGGCTCCTCACATAAGACCTCAAATCCATCATCACTCGACCACTGCTGCCACGCCTGAAACGCCCCGCAAGATTGACGGAACCTTGGTCGGAAGACCAAGTGCCCGACGTCACCTTTGGTGGGGTTGAATGTGTATGTGTCTGTTGTCGTTTCAGCGCGCGACCAGGAAAAGGATGCGCTGCCAGTGAGCACGGCGTTGCCTTCGGGGCCGGGGGGGGAGTTGCCGCCGAGCGTGATGGTGAAGCCTTCGGTTATGGTAACAGCTTCCGAGTGGGCGATGCCGCAGGTTGTCACGTCGCAGTTTATATCTGCGGAGACTGTTGAAGAGTCAATATTCTATACGCCTGGTATCGAAATAAGAGAAGTGGGTTTAAAATCCTCTTGAGCTTTATCCAGAATTTTGGGAAGGATAGGACGGTTTACCTTTGACGGGATCTCCGAGAACTTCAGTGGCAGAGTGCTCGCAGAACTGGTAACACGGCTTTGAGATATCGATCACGCCGTTGTAGGTCTTGTCGCTGCAAGCGTCGCGTTTGTTGAGAGTGTTGTTGGCGGAGCGGGCGGCAAGCTGGGAGGGCGTGGCGTACACGAGTTCGCCGTTCTCGTTCGGAATGAGTAGGTTCTTCAGTTTATAGACGTCGCTGGTTGGGTTTGAGGTAGGGATGGCTAGTAAGACTGGTGGGAAGAGAGTGATGAGGGAGGTGATGGAGCGCATATTGTTCAAAAGGACTAGAAGATTGTTGGTAGTAGCAAGATTTTACGTCAATGTACTTGGAAAGGTAAACGGTAATGTAATGCTGTAATCCTGAGATATTGAGATGCTCTCATTCTATCGAGGCACAGAGTGGCTTTAATACTTCTCCGAGAACTCTCATACTTTCTCTTGATCCTCTACAGCATGGATATCTGGCGCGATTGTCCACTCGACGAACGTCAGGCTAGGGCGGCTTCCCTTGATACCACCTCGAAGTCCGGAGCATCCTGAGAACGAGGATGCCACGTCCTCAGAATGGCTTTAAACCCTCGAAGATGGAGACGACTCGCGCGAGAGTCGAGATGAAGTACCGGCTAGAAGTCATGTATCGGGCGAAGAGCTGGGGAAATGTCTGAAGGAGGGTTAAATCCTTGATGGACTTTAAAACTGAATAACATCCTCCCCTTTTTTTTTCATGGAGTTTCGTCGCTTTTGGGAGAATGCAATATAAGGAGGTTTGAAGAAGAGACTAGACTTACGGCACAGTATGACGCTAGCTACGTGTATACTTCTACCTCCTTGAGCGGTGTATCAATAGTAGATACAAGGGCTCTTTCTCAACTTACATCGGCACATGTGTTTATGTTCGCATCTTCAAAGTATTTTAACGTAGTTTAGCTAGTGGTTTATCCTTCCGAAGGCATCCAAACACCAGCGCATGGATATATGTGATTCAATCATGAGGTAGGGGAAAACAGGATTCAGAAAGGGCAAGATATGAAATTCCTCTTCATCCTTCGTAAAGCGTTTTCTCCGAAATTCAGGGTCAGAAGGCTTCTGGCTCTTTTATATGTATTCCGTATTTCTCGCACGATAGAATGTCGTCAGAAGTCAGCTGATCTTAAGTCTGCAGCCAGAAAGCCGATCGACTCAATTACTGAGCATCCCTGCACCCCGTCCCAAGGTTCTAGATCCTTAATCTTCAACCCCATGTTTGCTCTGTAGTCTGCCTTGGCCATCTAATGTCTAATTGGGGTCGATTGTGTGGCGGAGCAACGCGAGATGAAGCTACGCCGCAATCGACTGCAAACGGGGCGAGTGGATTGCCTTATTCAAAGCAACGTTGCGGACGGCGCGACACAATTCCAACCCCCAAAGGATTGAATATCCCAGGGCTCCAGTTTGCTGCGCCTACAACGTGCTGCGATAGAGCCTAATAATTGGTACCAGCGCGTTTGTTCACTATGGCGGTATTATTGTCGATCTGATGGTGGAGGGGAAAGATATAACGTGGAGAGTTTCTTGACCTACATTCCCTCAGAGCTTGCTAACACGATACATTTCCTACTATAATCCTTCTGACCTAGCGGTACCGCTGCCACGACTGCAATGTCAAACCTAGACTTCCAGTGGATTTTCCCGTCTGCCCCACCAAACATTACCTCCTCTCTCAATTTCACCGCACAGAATGCCACAGCAAACACCGGGGTATTTGGCAAGCTTCCCGTATACGTGAACGACGCGATAAGGCTCGAATGGAACGATTCAACTTCCTCGGATCAGACTGCGAATGTCCAGTATGAATGTGGAATAAGTAAGCCAGTTTCCTCATTAACCCCGGGGCCCAAAGCATTCGTGTAGTACTGCAAGCTAATTAACCCTTCCAGACCCAAACGGCTCTCGCTCCCACATCGGAGTTGGGCAGTCATTCAACGGGCGACCCCCTTTTACTTGGACGTTCGAATTCCTCTCCTCTCCCAGCCCTTCTCCAACTCCATCGCCTTCAGCAAACTCCTCTTTGGTCCCTAGCTCTGGCCTAGCAGAAGATATCTGCGTCTTTCTCCACTACAACCACACCCTCGGGACATTTTACCTCACGACCGCATTCAGCATCCTCAACACAACGCGCCAGGGCCAACCATATCTGTACACGATAGACACTCCATTCGGCAGTCCGAAAACGGCTCCGAGTGTCCAAACGGCTGATTCCAAGCATGGTCACTCGAACCTAGCTGCGATTTTGGGGAGTGTCTTAGGGTGTCTGGCGTTGTTAGTAATAGTAATCGCTTTCGTATTTTGGAGGAGGAGGTCGACCAGGAGAAATGGAGTAGGGAAAGGGCTGGTGAGAGATGACACGCAGGTAGAACTGGAGCGTGTGGGAAGTATGGCGACGACAATGCCTCCTGCTTATGAAGAGCGGATGCGCGAGGGCGATACTGAAGAGAGCGGCAATGCAGCGGGCGGGGAGCGGAGAGCCAAGTCGGCGGCCAAGTCGGCGGCCAAGCCAGTGGACTTTGAGAATGGATTGAAGAAGTCGTGAGGCAAGGATGGGGTGTCCTTAACCTTGTGGGAATGTACTCTTCATGGATGCGTAGAAGTGGCGTAGATAGAGAGAGGAGTCTGCAACAGAGCCTGAGTTCAAATTTCGAGAGAAACTTGACCACTTTCCGATCAACAATTCACGTCTCGATTTTCAATTCTCTGTCATTTGCATGGCGAAAATAAAGCGATCTGGTAAACTATACAACCAGAAACAGCGAAAGACCAGGAATAGAGACAGGTGGCAGACGAGGTGGCTGGTGCGGACGAAGCCCCGCCTGATCATGAGCTGGTCCTGTCCGGGAAGGATGAGAATGAAGTAGAAGAAGGAAAGAAAAATAAGCAAAATAGGTGGAGAGTTCCGCTATAAAACACGTTAGTATAATAAATAAAGAATAAATACAGTCGCCCACAAAAAGTCTGTTAACAGCACCAAATCGCCTAAAAACCACCCCTCTGTACATGAAGCCTTTCTGCTTAATATAGGTAGTTAATTAAAGCTCTTTTTAGAGTTATAATTAAGAGATACTTATAGTAGCCTAATACTTTATCTGCTAGCCCTTAGCCTTTTGTACTGCCTTTAAACGCCTTAGCATAGACTCTATAAGCTTGCAGATTAGTAAATTAAGTATTAACTTTTATACTTTTTTTAATGCCTTATAAAATTAGTTTTATTTATCCTCTAAGGTGCCTATTGTTTAAAACTTAGGGTGTAGTTTATAGACAAGTTGTTTAAGGGCCTACTAAATATGCTTAATTAGATTAAGGTTAAGTAAGTAAAGAGGCTACTCTATAGTCTAAATTCTGTGCTTCTTTAAGAAGACCTTTGTTACTTAAGTGTTATAAATAGAAGTGTTATCTTGCATAAAGATCTGCCTAGGCCTATAGTAAGGTAGGAGGCCCTAGCGGAGCGTTTTTATGTACAAATCTGCAGAGTAGCCTCTGCACTTAGCCTTAGAGTCCCTCTTTATAATAACTAATTTACTTCTACCTGCCCTACTGTTACTAGTTACCTAGATTGCTCTCTAGACTATCTAGCTCTTCCTTGTTAATTTAGATTTTTGCTGTATTATCTGTAGAGCTTATCTTTTATTGTTGTACTAGAAACACTACTTAGCATCTGCCTCTAAGCTTAGCTTAATTAAACATTTATTACTAAACTTAACAGCCTTTTTTTTATAGTTAAAGTAATAATATTGCTAGTAAAATATAAGCCTTAAAGCTGTATACTTAGTGTTTATTTTAGGTCTTTTCTTATAACAGTAATTAGTAAGGCCCTCTTTCTTAAGCAGATTATAGATAGTGTTGCAATAAAGGTAAGTAGTGCTATACATAAGGCCTGCTGCCTTTATAAGCGTTTTATACTGCATTTTTAGGAATTTTTATACTAGTTAAATAAGTAGTTGTTTATACTACCTTAATATTATAAAAGGACGCCTAGAGCAAGGCATAGAGGTAAGTTAGTTGTGCTCTTTCTAGCGCTTAATAGTTAATGCAATACACTAGTAAGTGTAGCTAAATTCCTTAGCTAAATCCTTTTGCGTCACACTAGCTTTAAACTTAGAAATAATTACTATGTGTGTTATAGGTAACAATTTACTATTGCGCATTTAATTTCTGCTAATTTCCTGCCTAAAAGAACGTCACATGGTGGCTGTAGGTGGTGTTAAAGAGGGGGTGCATACACGCGTTGATGCGCGTTGAGGGGTCGCGCATGTAATAAGGTAGGCACCCCGCCTGCCAAGCCGATACTATACGACTTTCCCCACTGTACCAAAAGGTACGCACGAGAATACTTAAGCTAAGTATTCTCGCATAGTATAATATATATATAGGTAATGCTAGGGTAAGCACTAGCACTAGCGGTTGTCTCTAGCCTAGCCTAAACCTCTATAAGCAAGAGAAGGCCACGTGGTTGACTGTGCCGACCTTGTTACAGCGCACGGTTTATGTTAACAGACTTTTTGTAGGCGACTGTAAGAAGACTTTCTTTCAACATTTAAAAACATGTTTCTAAAACATCTATATATATAATAACTATAAAAAAGCCTTTTAAGTATCTGTTACAATCCTTGCTCCGTTGAAATGGTATTTTCAGAAGCACTACAGCCTGGGGTGGATTTTAGCGGGAAGGGGAAGGACTTAGCTAGATCGGGTGTACAGTCCGTCCAGCAGAGTATAGGTAGGGCGAAGGTAAGGAAGGCAGGTTGTGGTTTAACCTAGCAGCTGTATAAAGAGCTAGTAAACTAATCTAGAAAGAATAGAATAGAAGGTATATATAGTGTAAAATATACAAGGCAGCAATGTCCTCTTTATAAAGGTATTAATGCCTTTTAGTCTATTATTATGTAAAGACTAAACAGTAATTACAGCCTTCTAACTATATACATAGGGTTGCATGTAGTGCATGTTGTGCATGCCTGCATGCTCTTCGCCTGCATTGCCTGCAAAGCCTGCAGGCCTACAATGCTTATAGTCCTATTAGACTACACATTCCTTAATGCATCTGTCTAAAAGCTAAAGCTATTCCTTATCTGTCTTGTTACATAATCTGTCTAGAATAGAGATAAGCGCTGTCTATCTAACATTGCTTAGGCTATAAGGTACAGCTAATTAAGTAATTATAGTCTGTTTATTAGCTGTAACACACAGGCTTCCCTTCTAGTTAGCGTCCTTGCTGTTATGTTCTTTCTGCTGTAAACATTAGGATTTCTTTTTAGTTAGTGTGTATCTATCTTTAAAGCCTTCTTAAACATTTATCTTTTCTAACTATGCCTTCTTAGGCTTCCTGTCTTTCTGCTGCTGCCTGTTGTCTTTGTACTGTTACTTATCTTAATCCTCTTTATTATACTAAGATGCGCCTATGTAGTCTCTACTATTTAAACAGTTTCTCTTACATAATAACTTTCTTATTAGATAAGTGTGTAGAGTGTACATAAAAAGGTTATTATTATAACACCTTTATTTCTAACACTGCGTAGAATTATTTAGAGCAGGAGCGTAGAAGACTGTTAAAAAAGCTAGAAACTGTTTAAAAAGAGAAGATGCGTAAAAAAAAGAAAAAAGTGTATAAAAAAAAGTTATTAAAGCAATTTTAGTTATTTATAGCTTATTAGAAGAGGGCTTATAAGCAACTAGAAGTGTTAGAAGATTAAAGAGAGAAGTATCTAAAAAAAGACTTCTCTTTACTAGATAAGCTTAAAGCGCTTAAGGCAAAAGCTGCTAGTCTTCTACCTTCTTAGCTAATATTAAAGAGTTATAGGCTTCCTACATTACAGCTAGCTAATGCTGCTGCTGTAGTTTTAACTAATGTTAGTGTTTTCTAGTTTAAGAAGCTCTCTCTAGAGTAGTTTTATTTAAAAGAGACTCTAAGTACTTATAGAGAATTAAAGAAGCGTTTAATAAGCTTCTAATAGGCTTCTAAGTACTTTTACTAGTAGGCTATCTTTTTTACTTAATTAAGTACTTGTTTTCTTAGTAGTCTAAGATTTATTTAACTTTATATTTTTTCTTCTCTTTTTTCTAACTAGTAGTTGCTAGTAGGATGCTTTTAGGCGTAAGTTTAAGCTTAAAAACATAGAACTAGAGGTAAATTTACATTTCTTTTAGTAACTTAAGTTTACAGATGCTAGAGCGTGTTTATATAACTTAGTAAGGTTCTATGCGTTTCTTAGTAAGCTTTCTAGATAGTTAAAGTGTCTTAAGATTCTTTATATCTAGGTATATGTAATTATTTAGGTGTATTTTAAGTGCTAGCTGCTGTTTCTAGTTTACTGCTTCTTTTATAGCGTTCTAGGCTAACTATGCTTTCTTAGTTAGTTTCTAATGCAGTTCTAAAAGTCTAGCAATCTAGCTTATAGCCTTTAGAGAGTTAGTTAGCTGTGTGCTGTGCAACTTATATTATAAGAAATATCTAAAATTAGCCTTATATAGGGTTTCTTTAGTTGTAGCTAATTTTATAGTATTAATTATAAGCTATACTATTAGTAGCTATTCTGCCTAATTATTTTATTTATATAACACATATTTGCGCAGATATCTTTCTACTTTTATGTTTACTTATTCTGTTTGTCTGTCTGTTTGCAGGTAATAGGCTATAAAAAGCTTATAATTAATTTCTAAGTACCTAACTACTGCTGCCTAGTACTTGCTTGTAAACAGCTTATTATAGTTAAAAATAATAATCTCTAAGTAACTATAAGTAGCTAAGATATTTTTTTCTAGTTTAAACATAATTTTTTTAGCTATAATGCTTTTTTTAAGGGCTATAAGTAAATAAACTTTATAGTTTTATTAATAACTTATGTAATTATGTTATAGAGTCTTTCTATACTAAGTTTACATAAGAGTAGTAGCCTAGTAATAAAATCTATAGTTATTATAGTCTATAGTTAACTTAGCGCTATAATTAGTTAAAGTAATTTATAGAGTTTATGTTAACATAGATTATTCTTATTATAGATGTTACATTCTTGTAGAACTTTAGTACATAAGTGTCACGATTGTGCACGAGTAAGGTTATAGAGCTTCACGGAGGTCTAGTTTAATTACTACGTGAGGTATTATAGTAGGTACAAGACGTTGTGTGAGGAATAGGAAGGTTTAGAAGGAAATTAGTAATTAAATACTTAGCTTAGAAGTCTAAGCGCTTTAGGTATAAATTAAGCCTATTTTAAGTTTAGTTAGTGTTAAGGCAGTTTATACTTAAGTTTATGTCTATATTATGTTATGTTTATGTTAGACGTGCACTAATAATACTCTAGTACATGTCTAATACAGTTATGTCTAGGATCTAGGGAGGATACTGTAACAGTACCTTCTCTCTTATTAGAAAGGGAATTCTTTACATTAGTAGTTCTAGCATTAAGTTGTTTTTATTAGAGTACAAGTTTAGTTTAGATAGGTATTAGGCATAAAATTAGGTTACTATAAAGTTTTTTTGCAGAGCTTCTACAAGTTTCTATAATAGTTTGTTATATCTAGTTTATTTTATAAGGTATT